TGATTGGCAAGGAGACTGCGGGAACAAAGTATGGCTCGAAGAGAGTTCGGGTGTCGATCCGGTGTTCCGTCGATGCAATGCAAAGCAGTTTGGCTATGGTGGAATGCAATGTAGGAATAGTTTGATAGATTGACAATCAAAGAAAACACTGCAGAAGATGCAAAGAAGACAAAGTAAACAAACAACAGACAGACGGGCCCTATTTGAATTGTCGCGATGGCTGCCAGCCTCGAGGATTCTGCGTACATTCCTTCTGCTCTAAAGATGGGAGAGGAATGTACATGGAGCAGTCGGAGAGGGCCTCGATATGGCCCACCTGATCCCCGGTGGGTGATGCGAATAATTCAAGAGAGTGCCCCAGATGCCATACCAATCAGAAGGCGTGGGAAAAAGCAAGTGGCTGATGCGAATATCCTACCCTTATCCACTCTCTGGGCAAAAGTGGACTGGGTTGTCGTTGGCCACCCGCTGGAATGCAACCCTCCCCATACCAGAACCAGAAAGAGGAAGAATCAACAGAAGAGGAATGTGTGGTCCTCAGCAGCTAGGTAGAGCCCATCACCTTAGGGAGAGCTTATGACAGCTGCTCAATAGCGGTCCATGGGACGGGAGACGATCATGGGAAATCCGTTAGCTTGAGCGGTATGATCCGTAAGGAACCAGAGAAGAGTATCCAGAATGGCGAAATGCCATTATCAGCGTCGATTTGGTCAATCCCCAGTGTTCAAAGTGTAAGCGTCATACGGTTTTCCTACACCGTCAGCACGCATCACAAACAGACAGCACACTAGCCAGCACAGGGCCACAATGCCCTGGTCTTCTCCTTTGACTCCTTTGGATCCTGCTTAATGGTTGATGTTTCAGTGGAGCTGTTGGTTAGCAATGATTCGCTCCCTTCAACGGCACAGCCGTCGATAAGCTTGTTGCGAATGTGTGTCTGGAATGCGAGGGCTGGGAAGAATGCGCGCCCACAACAACAATGCAAAGAAACAGCCTGGCTCTTGGGGTTCAGGCACACACACAGTTCTAGCAGCAGTCAGTCTGGAGGCATGACCTACGAGAAAGGTCTGCGCGATAGCCCTCATGCCAGATTTTCTAAAATTATCCTGCTCTATTCACGTAACGGATCTCCACTAGGAGAGGGAAGAACTAATTCTCGCCTTAGATTGTCATGGCTTGGAGACTTTGCCCTGTCAGAAGTGATTTGGAATTATTTAGAAAGGTACTCAATAGGAATCAACCTTTAGGAAGTACGAACCGACTGGGTCATGGTGTGATCCGTTCTTTGTTCTCTGCGGAAAAGCAACTCATGTGGTTGGCAAGCCCAGTAAGTATGATCCGTAGAGGGAATCTCGTACCCAGAGTTAGGGGGTTCATCCCCAGCCAGTTTCTTTGTTCTCCAAAGCCTTCTTTGTGTGTCCCATAGCCGTGTGGTAATTAGGAAGCTCCCTGCTACGAGGACGCACATGATGTTCAGGCTTCGGGGAGCCAATCCTGCGCCTAGGGATACTTCAGTCCATCAAGCTCGAAGGAGCGAGGGCTAAAGATAGGACAAAGGTTCAGAAACCAAGAATAGCAAGTGTGGGCCCTGTTTTCGCCTTGTGAAGACTAGACAAGATCTGGCTGAAAGCGTCGCTGAATGTCCTGTCAGTGCTTAGAAAAATTAGGTTCTGGTAAGGGGGATCATCTCGGGTCGATATGTAGTAACAACAGTGAGCCACAAGAAAGAATTCTATGGCTAGTGGTAGTAACTTGGTGTTAACAAGACGTAAACCACTGTTCAAATTGTGGTAAAGCTTAAGCCCTCAAAGAGAGGGCCATAGAGCACAGTTTCAAAATCACAAAGAAACACCTTTGTTAGATGGGCAGGCTTAGTGGAGGGAAATAATTCGAGCTCATTGTGACAATCTGCTGAGTTATTACGGTACAGGTATGAATATTGATTGAGTCGTCAGCTCTAGTATCATTCAATTACCATCAGCATTTTCAAGGCTCGTCAGCGGCAGAGATTAGTGTGTGTTCAATGAAATCCATGGTGATATCTCGAGTCATGTCACGATTTCACAAAGACACCCGTCATCATACCTAATAATAATGGACAAGCCGAGTGGCTTCGCAGAGAATCGTAGCACTCATCCTTCATAATACCGGAGGAAATTTACTCCGGTTCTGGTCAGCACAGGCAGCCGCTAAGCCAGTTCTGGGAAGCCTCCGGCTGATTGCATTGGGAGGCAACAAGGAGGTCAGGTGCCGATGACGGAAATCTGACTCCTCGCAGCCGCCGCGCAGTTGACCTCTTTCTACCCCTTCACCAAGGCCCTGTATATTGTGCAGAACTTCCTTGGCTTATCCATCGCATTTTCTTTGGCTCGACGTGAAGCGTCGATGTCAGTCTGTGTCTGAGATTTCTTCATACGAAAGCCAGCCGTCACCAACTTTCGACTGTTACCCCTCGAACCCCCGCTGTTGCCGGAACATCCCACGCAAAGTGGGTATGACTTCACAAGGACGACTTGGTATCGTCAAGGACTCGAACTGATCGCAACTGCTTGTAGAAGCAGATCCAACCCGTTATTATCCCAATTGAGATAGACGGGCCCCAAGTTCTAGCAGTACGCAACGCGTTGTGCTCCCAAACATCACATAACTGCAACCTCGCGCCTTGAATATTTCTCTTCGTCATTCGACAGCCTATATGTCTTACATCAACGAGACTATCAGAATCAGATTTCTTTTGCAAGACAGACAAGGAAACAAAGCGAAAATTTTGATTAAACGGAAATCAGACGATCACAAGTGCATGCTCTATAACCATCATATTGCTCGACTGGTCAAATAAAACTTCAATATCATCAGGTGCTTCTACAATGGGTCTCAAGTTTATTCCAGCTGAGGGGGTCCTCGTCTGCCTCCCTTAGGTGAATAACTACATTCACACACGAGCTTCGCCATGGACTACCACCGATTCTTCGGAGGCCATCGAAGCCACACCTTGAGATCACTATACTACGAACTCCTCTCCTTGCACCCATATCCAATTTGCGAACTCCTATCTCATTGAGACAAAGGAGCGCAATATTTCAGCCACACTGTGATTTAGCCTCCAAAAAGTTGAAAAAGGCTATTCAGCTCATCAAGATGAGCACGCACACATTGAATAAGAAGTCCTGGGAGTCCCTATCGTCGACTTTCTCCAACCTCGAAATATCTGTTTCCCAGGACAGTTGCTATGCCTCGGACGAGCTCTCCATCAGTCCAACCAATCCTATCACTGCTGGCACGTCGCTAGACTCCTTTACGCCAGGCCGCCAGGATTCTTTACACTCGCTATTGAAGCCTATTTTGAAGAGGCCGTATTCTGATATTGAGGAAGATGAGGAACCTGAGTCTGGCTACGGAACAGACGATTCTGACTACGATTACGCTTCTGTGTCTGATGAACATGATGACGAAATGTATGCGGTTTCCACATGGGACGAGGCCTCGGATGTCTCCGATGCCATCTCGGAAAACTGCGATGACGATGGTGAATCAGTGGACGGTTCGTTCATTTCGTTCGAATCCGTGGTGCGTTTCGACACCAACGTGCGTTATATTGAGGCGCCAGAGCTTCAGGAAGAAGAGGCCGAGACACCACGAACCGAATTAACCTGCCATGAATTAATGGAAATGGCGAGGGCATCTGGCACTCTTCGCCTGCAGGGCGGACAAGTCGCCGGGTCTGATTTGAGTGACAAAATGCCCGAACATGATGAGCTCAGTGAATCAATCAAACAATGGCCAGAGGAGCACCCGAGTGACATTGTCGACTTGGATAAGAGACTATTCATTGCCTACATTAACGGCATCAACGGGATTGCTGACCCTGGATACAAAGCGCGTCTCCGCGAAAGAATTGACGATATCAGAAAGGGACATGCGCAATCTCCATACATGGAGTCTGATAACGCGCAAGGGGTGTACCTCGATAATGTCCTGAACCACGTCCTGGGTACATTCCGCAACATTATTGTTCAGGAGGAGCTTGACGAACTGGCCACTCTTACCGAGCGAAGGGAAGCCCGGCAACAGACCGAGGCGACTGAAGGGCTCGATCACAAACTAGTGGATAAGATTGAACATCTTCTTTCTGAGAGACTGGCAGGAAATGATGTCGAAATCGGCCAGGATGAGCTAAGTTTTTTCGCTGGCGGCGTTGCTTATGCCCTTCAGAATTGGGCCTCGTATACATCGCACTGAACAGGAGTTCGTGGACCAGAAGCTCTTCTACAATGTTTGATGAATAAAAGCAATGGCTATATGCATTCAATAACGTTATGAGGTTATGTACATAAAAGTCCACGTCGTTTCGGGTACTCGAATATCATTTGCCCTACTTACTTCCATTTCTGACACCCTGTAGCTTGCTTGTTGTGTATTCTTAGGGCAATTATCAAAATTCTAGAGAGGCCTGCTTCTGACACCATGCAATGCAGCCTCGAGGGCCGGCTCTAATCGTTAGACAGGCGGTTGACCAGGTGCCTACCTACCGTCTACCATTTCATAATGCCAGGATGTCCCATGACACAATTTGCATGGGTCAACCCAGACATATTGATCAGTGACTGTTGACCACATGTGGCCAAACACCGTGAAACGCTCTAAGTTGGTCAAGATGGAACGAAGTCTGGCTTATGGCCCGAGGCTGATTCCAATTCAGACCAAGGAGGCTGAAGGGCGCTAGCGTGGTTCAGTCTCATGTAATGTTGGAGTGAGAAGTGAGTTGCGTCTCATGCGTTTTCTCAAAACCACAAGCAGTGATATTTCTGAAGTACTTGTTGGTCGTATAACAATACATGGGGCGGCATATTGATAGTCTTCCAGCTCCCAACTGCGAGCCCGAGACGATGCCAACTAGTATCGTTATAAGATAGCAGGACGCTATACTCCCTGGTGAGGACAAAAGACTAAGGCTATTCTTTACGTGCAATGAATGACATTAGAGAAAAACAAAAAGAATATGGTAAGACTGGGAGTCGAACCCAGGCCTCTTGCGAGAGTGCATGACAAATCTAGTTTTCTAGAGAAAGCTAACCAGCTTGAGTGCACCACCTTAACCACTCGGTCATCTTACCATTTTGAGTGGGTGTTTGCGCGATTTTTGAACTCATCAGGTCCCAGGCAGGGAAGATGAGCAACCAATGTTGATAAAGGAGCCCAGGGGACCCTTATAAGTTCGTAATAGAGTAATTCTGGCGTTGCTGATAACTGATGTTTAGGTATGTTGAGAAAAGATTGTCGGGACGAAGCAACTGTTTGATCAGTGCTCTCGGATACGGAGAAAACCACGTGTTTTACAGCAGATAGTGCGCTTGGATAGGTAGCAAGTTGTGCTGTTATTCAGCATAGTAATGGTAAGATGACCGAGTGGTTAAGGTGGTGCACTCAAGCTGGTTAGCTTTCTCTAGAAAACTAGATTTGTCATGCACTCTCGCAAGAGGCCTGGGTTCGACTCCCAGTCTTACCATATTCTTTTTGTTTTTTTTGGTCCCTGGGTCACTCTCAAGTGCCCAACGTTCAATTCAGTCCGTGCCTTTCCAAGACATATTTTAGGACGTGTAGTCTAATCTTAGTCTCAAGTATCAATGAATGGCTGCGATAGCAGTAATCCTCTGCAAATCCGTTTAAGATCATATGCGATCAAGTCGGCCGGATCCTAGATCCCGCATTGTTGGTGCAGTCATCTAACTCCAGTATCAAAAGGTTAACAGAGCGAGTACCAAACTTCAATGGCTTGGTTTGCTGGATCCTACGCAGTCGCTCAGCTGGTCAGCCCTAACACATGCTTAGCAGCTGGAGACTCCGAAATGATTACGTTTCCTGTCTTGGTGAATTAGCCCCATTATCCGTGTTCTCCGAGGCAATGAAGAGTCAAGAAGAGTCTCAAATAAGCGAGTAGATCCATGATTAGCAGTCTAGTAGTCCCACTAAGGAATGCCACCTCGCCCAGGATAACAACTGTATCGGAGGAAGCGTGCCAATAGAATGGTCCGAATGCACGATTAATATGGTATTCTCTCCGATCTCAATGAGCCATTTACATTACGGAGTAGTTATCAGGTGAACTAGTTATTAGCTGCTCGGCTGCAACCATGGTTCATAAGCTTTCCGGCTAAGTCGCAATCCTGACTACAATTCCAGACTGGGCAAACCGATAGGCCGTTGTTGAGTCTGTGTCTGACTCGTGGATAGATTCATTGGTTAAGAGGCGACATCGCTGATCCACAGTCTGTATTCCTCCAGAGCAAGGCTTGAAGGCGTTCTGAGGACCACGTGTGGCTTACACTGAATGATTTTTTTCTTTTACGAACATGATTACAGCTCTTATGTCATCTCCAGACGTGAGTTGGTGATACGGTCATGCAAAGATAAGACAATGGGAAGTTACTGACCCAGCTCTATGTAACTGCTTGCCTTGTTACAGTCAAGAACCAAGTGTAGATGGTTGATCTTAGAAGGAATGGGACTAAGAGGATCTTCAACTTGACGTGCGATCTATGGAAAATGCAGAGAGTTATGGAAATGATGGATTGCTATTTGCTGTTGCTGGTGGGCCAACCCCATCGCCGTTGTCTAATAGTTTGGAAAAAGAGTTTTCAGCGGATGAATATTACGGAGTGTCTACGGAGCCCACTACCTACCATTCAGAGAAAATTGTTACTTGGATTTGGATTTTGTCATGGTGGAAATGCCGTCAAAGCGAGTCTGGAAGAGAAAAAAAGCAAATAAGATCCGATTGAGCCTGATCCGATGGAGTGCTTCTTATCTTGGCAATGATCTGGAATTCAGAAATTAACTGCAGGGGAGGCGGTGTATTTCTTCTCTTCTTCTCCTTTTCCCTCCAAATTCGGCTCTTCCCCTGACCCTGGAATCGGGACGCTTAGATGGTGGGGCTGTTTCTGATCCACTGCGCTTTCGTCTTCTTAAATTCGCCCCCATTTATTCTTTCCCTCCGGAGTACGTACCTTAGGACTGCGACCTCAGGAGACCTACCCAAGTACTCCGTGTCTCTTGCCTGTAGCACTGCCAACTGGAATAGTGGTAAGTACCATGCAAACCTAGTTGCTTCTCAATTTCCAGTACTGCTCCCGGAGTTTAGTGCTACCGTGACTGCGAAATCCTGATTTACTATGTGCCTCTGGAGGTACTACCAGGTGGACTGTTAGACAATGTACACAAAGTGGCAACAGCCGGTGTCGATCTCAGGGTCAGTCCCGACTCCCGCGTGTTGAGGGAAACCGTATCCAACTCGTGGGCATGTTGGTCGTGCTGCAGACGTAGGGGGACTAAGAGTATCTACGCTGGTTTATAGAAATGTAACCTGATCAAAACTACTTTACAGACGATTGCCATATTGTGATACTTCTGACGTTAGAGCCACGAACTTTATTGTAGTCTAGACATTTGCCATCCAGCATCCATCATTAACATTATCCCTGAATAATGCCTATTATAAGGATAAACATTGTTATTTCCTTCCCGTCGTCTTTCTACTACTACTGTTCTCCACTCCCACTCTTGATCGCAATTCTCAAACCTCAATGGTAGAAAGACAGTCTCCACCTCTCCTGATTTGCATCTTTACCTCCGTGTTCTGACTACCCTACTGAGCATCGAGCACTTAGCACTTGTCAAAACCAGGTACCTAGCGATAGTCCGGGCAAGTCATACCCGTTTGAACTAGTACTCTGTAGTTACCAAGTTCGGAAGACCTCCTGAATTCAAAGTTTCGCCAGTCCCCGGTGCAACTCCAGCTTCTTATTCCCTCTTCCTTCGAGCTCTCTTCTCGCTCCCTCCTCCGAGCTTAGGAAGTCCATTCTTTCGCATACTCTCTTTATCAGGCCTACAGGGTTTCCTTCCTTTCGCTTCTAAGTATCCGACCACTGTCAACTCGCTGGAATGAATAAATCAATAGCTACTCCTTTTAACAACTGACGGGTAGGCTTTTTGGTCCATTGTCCCATCTCCAACACTTCCGTTTGCAGTGCTATTTGCGTACCCATCATGTGTTAGCACCCGCAAGAATATGAGCCCCCCCTAAAAAGCAGGCAGTGCACACAGCGACATTATCTGTCTACAAGGCTGACGAGTACTAATTATATTTTGGCTCTTTCAGAATGATCTAGCGACTCCGTTTGGTATTTTCGTATATCTCTTCAAAGAGGGCCCCTTCTACTCGAAAGCCACCGGAACCGCGGAAGGCCGCCATTAACTGCATGCGATCAATATAAAGAATCATGCAGCACTACAAAGGCCCCGAATTTCCCGAGCTGGCGAGGACACTGTCGCGCTCGCGCAGCACTAGCATGTCCAGCGACTCCCAGCTATCACGCATCCACCTTCTCTCTCCACCACCAGTGAACCCTCCGCCCTCTTTCATCGCATCATCTGCAGCGTCTCAAATCATCACCGCCGACCAGGAGTTTAACACTGCGGACTTTGTGACTAGCGAAGAAGAGAATGGTGCGAATGCGAGCGCTCTTGTCACCCCAGAGGCTCTTTCGGCTTTGAACGGGTTTCTCGACCACCTTCTCTACAACATTCTGGCAACCGCCAAGTCGACCCAGTTGGCATGCATTCGACCGGCGATAGCCGACGTCCTCAAACCTCGACTCGCGAAAGAAGTAGTCTCTGCTGCGGATGATGAACTGCGTGAGTACATGGGCGGCGAAGAAGACGAACAATCTGAATTTCGCGGTGGGCAGACTTCGGGCAATGATTTTGACCTGGTCCGTTCCTGGAAGTTGACTCGGCTTCGATGCATGGTGTACACGAGGTTGGGTGACATGGAGGAAGACGATGAAGACGAGTACATCGCGCAAGACCGGCTTATCGAGTCTGACGATGGGATTCCGCCGAGATTCGACAGCCACGTGGGCAACATCACTCCGGCAGCCGCGATCTTTCTCACGTCGATCATCGAGCACATTGGAGAACAGGCCCTCATCATTGCAGGCGAAACTGCGCGGTCCCGGTTATCTTTGAAACTTAGCGACAATCATGACGAAGTGACCGAATCTGGCGCTGAGCGAGGCAGTATGGATAGGCTAGTCGTGGAGGAACTCGACATGGAAAAACTAGCTTTGAATCCGACCCTAGGAAGACTGTGGCGAACCTGGCGAAGACGTGTTCGTACACGTAGCTTATCTCGCACGGTTTCGAGGGAGTCCTTCCAGCGTCGCAGATTGACTGCTCCCTCTGCGGGCAGCAGAAAAAGCAGCATCGTTACTGTCGATGAACGCCCACCCAGTCTGCCCGTGTCACCGGATGTTGAGCACAGCAAGGAGCTTGATCCAGCATCTGTCGCTCTGCCAATGAGCGACCACGATGTCGAGGAGATTGAGATCCCGGGATATGTGGCTGACTTGGATGGCAGTGAAGTGCTTGAGATACACGAGGTTCGGACCATGCAAGCTGTCCTAGCTCACAAAGTGCGACCTCATAGCCTTATGGTACTCACCCTGGCACCTCCAAAGTCTCCTTCCACAGGGAACTCGCCGGTTACTCCTCTCAGCGCACAGGGTGCCAGAGTTGTTCGTCACGCTCGATCGCGGTCACTACCCAACAGTTCGTACCCCGAAGATGATGGTCCAAAAGATATCCCGGCTTCGCAGGTAAATTCCCCTGCCACAGCCGAAGAACAGAAGCGCTTAGAGACGATGTATGAGCACGATGAGAATGACGAACCAGCGGCACCAAACGGATCAGTCTCACAAAAAATTACGGTGGCACCACAAGTCAAGCAGTTTGAAACAGACTATTCATCCGGTGAACAGAACTGCTCTGCTGTTGTGCAGGATGCGGCTACGGCATCCTCACCGTCGGCGGCATCAGTTGACGCCGCCCCAAGTCAAACCAGTATCACTGACACATCCACGGCATCATTGAGCGATGAGCAAGAGTTAGTTTCCGAGGTTATCGAAGGACATGGATTATGCGAAAAGCCAAAGCTGGCAGCATTGCAGCGACCTAAACGGGTTACCAATAAGGATGCTTCTGAGGATACCCCTGCATCGCCAGCGGAAGAAAAAGCGCCGCGGGCTGTGACTGTCGTTGACCATGAACCGCAGTCGCAAGGGGGAAGCGCCAAGCTATCCCGCCCCGCCGGCAGCCCTGACTCCTCCAAGACCGCTGATGAGGACTTATCAGCCGTGCAAGCCCCTCCTGCCAGGGCGTCTGATTCTACCGCGGACGGCAAACCCTCAAGAATCGCACCGGTGACAGCCGAATCCTCTAGAAAAGAGGTCACCGAACCGGTTTCCACAGCCGGAGAGGCCATTCTTCCTGAACGTGCGCGGACTCGGCCCTTGCCCATTCCCTTGACCTTGAACACCGCAGGCCAGCAGTCTGTCGGGGCAACGAGTCCGGGATTAGCTACCCCTGGCAGTTCTGGGACCGAGCGTGCAGCCGTTCAACGGGTATCACGCCCCTCAACCTCGGTAGCCTCGTCTACTTACACAAAATCACGCCGGTCCGACAGTTTCGGCAGCCATCGGGAGAAGCGTCCCGTCACTGCCGGATCGACTACGTCGCAGGTTTCGAGCAAGCTCAAGGGCCTTATTAGTCGCCAAACCGACTCCGCTACGTTCCTCGTTCGCAGCTCCTCAGAAACCAGTAGAGCATCCGCTGTCACCCATGACTCAGCATATGATGATAAATCGGGATTGGATGAATTGATCCAGAGCGAGGAGACGATCCATTATACCCTGACACCCAAGAACATGAGGGATATAGAGGTTGGTTCAGACTGAAAACCCTGTTTTGCAGAACCCCATAGCTGACGCTTGAAAAGAACTTGGACTCCCCCAGATGGCAGCCTCAGCGATCACCAACCGCGGATTTGGCCGATTTTCTTAAGAATACTGGCCCTCCTGGAAGCGAAACACCTAGGCCAAGGACATCCAAATCATCCTCTAGGGAAGCGACCGACTTTCCAAGGGTATCGAAGTCTATGTCGTCCGAGAGGGCGAAACATATACCCATTCAGATACCTAGCATAGCTCCCGAGCAGAGAGACAGGAAGTCCCCCCGCAGCGGCGCTCCACGTCTGGAAGCCCGTTCAGCTGTGGCACCACGAGGGCACGAGACAGCCGAGTTAATTGAATTTCTTCGGGAGGGACCGTCGAATATCGGAGCTCACCAAGTCCCACGCACAGTTGCCTCGTCCATGGACATGGACGAATTGAGACAAGGCGCTCCTTCTGTTGCTAGCACACAAGGAGGCTCAATGGCTACTCGGTCTCTTACTTCCGTCGGTTCTCGTACAGCCCTTCTCGAATCCGCCAACCGTTCAACTGCACAAGGGGGCTCAGTCAATGCGGCCAATCTGGCCAGCAGTAGGGACTCTACCGATCCTCAACCTGCACGGAAGCAACGTCGGGTGCGGGATCCTTACGCCATTGATGACTCGGACGACGACGAATATCTTGAAGAGCTTCTAGAACCCTCGAAGCCTAAACGGGAGGAAGAAAGCCTGATGGATTTCCTGCGTAATGTTCCTCCGCCAGAGGCTGAACCCCAGCCTCGGGCCTTGAATATGCCTACATCGAAAAGTACTTCCACAGGACTTGGAAGTGCCTCAGCCATGAAGGCACGGCTTCTCCGAAATACTTCCTTTGACAAATCCCTTTCCGGGAAATCCTCGAAATCATCGCTGCGTCAACAACAGGAAGGTTACTTGACGGGACAGTCGAATTATACTGTCAAGGTTGGCATGGAGCGCAACGGAGGAGCAAGTCATGGTGGGTACGGGTTGTCCACCGTGCCTGAGAAGCAGACCGAAACAAGTGCATTAGCCAGCTTTCTCAGAAGCACCGGTCCGCCGGAGCCTCCTGCTGGTCGGCGACCCTCCTTGTCTGGCAGCAGAGGCAAAGATCCGAGTAGCTTCTCCCGTCTCTTTGTTCGTCGCAAGAAAGTGGAGGTTTGAAGCATGAGATTATATATACCCTTTCTTCTTTAGTTTTTCTCCCGTCTTGGTCTAGATCAGTCTTCCAATCCCTTGCGACTATGAAATTTTTATATAGTTGGCAGATGACATGTGTCTTTGAGCGTTCTAAGCCAGTGATGAAACGTTCCTTGCATCTTGTCCTTTCTTTGTGATACTCCTTGCAGTGATATGCCTACGGTTTCTTCGCGCATGCAAACTTATGTTGGCTTTTCTCGTGTCGCACTCACTTGGCTACCTCACGTGTTCCCTTTCCTGTCTCATTCTCCGCATCTCTACTCTCTGGACTTCTTGAGGGAGGTCATGCACTGGAGTACGATTGTATATATAAAGCTTTGGGTGGCCAATATTCTTGACGGTTGCCTGAGCCAGTACATTCTTTCTATCTCAGCAAAATATTTCATATCATCCGTGATTCTATCCACCGTCAGCCATCAACCGTAGAGAGACTCGTAGAGCGTTGACTGCGTAGTCAACGTTTCAGTCGGACCTTCGTCCTCAAACAATTCCATAGAAGATGGCCTGATAAAATCAGTTCAATGTCTTCAACCCGAAGGCATAAGAATACCATAGTTTCAGGCGAGTCAGTTTGATATGACTGGAGGATGCGGAAGATCTATAATCCGGTCGCTCTCCGTAGACGCGGCGTGGCATCAATAATGTTGTAGAGCCCCATCGCTGCTCAAATATACCGACAGAACAAGCCACAACCTCCTTGTCGGCCAATTTACTCATCGACAATGGGCAGCTCCTCACAATCCAGCACGAGGACACTCCTCGGTATCTTCTTCCTCCTGCTTGTCCAGCTCTCCTCCGCCTTGAAATTCGACCTGCACGCCAGCAGCGGGCACAACGAGCGATGTATACGCAACTTTGTTTTCAAGGACCAATTGGTCGTCGTGACTGCTATTGTGAGCGGGCAGAAGGGTGATGGGCAGGTTGTGAATATGCATGTATGTTGATTCTTACCACTGCCCTGGGATATTTTCGGGGTCGGGTCGTGGGAGGCTACTTCCCGGCTTCATTCATTGCTGTTTATCGGGTTTATTGCTGCGATGCTTACTGGTTTCTGTCCTATAGATTAAGGATGCGCTTGGGAATGACCATGGCCGGCCTAAGGATATCGCGGGCGAGACTCGTCAGGCATTCACCTCTGTTGCGGATACGGCGTTTGATGTTTGCTTTGAGAATAAGCTGGTTTCTCACCGTGAGTTTTCCTTCTTACAATACTTAGCTGCGCATGATATCCAGCTAGACATTTTTGACTCGGAACTGACCTGAACGTGCGCAGACGGTGTTGCGAACCCGTACAAGTCTGTCGAGCTCGATGTCGAGATTGGCGCCGACGCCCGTGACTGGTCCAGCGTTCAAGCTGCGGAGAAGCTCAAGCCAGTCGAAACTGATCTCCGTCGTATTGAGGAGATGGTGGCGGAGATCGTCAACGAGATGGAGTACCTGCGGGCCCGCGAACAGAAGCTGCGGGATACCAACGAGAGCACCAACGAGCGCGTGAAGTGGTTTGCCTTTGGCACTATGGGAATGCTGGTTGGTCTGGGTGTTTGGCAGGTCGTATACCTCAGGGCCTACTTTAGGTATGTTGAGCTCCCGTGTTGCTCTTTCGGTCTTGGGGAGTTGATTGGTGTCGTGGCTAACGGCTGCTCTTGTTGCGAACAGGTCGAAGCATCTTATCTAAGGTCTTGTCGTGTTGTGTTTTGGATCCCCACCTGTCATGTGGACAAGACTGCTCATGATTGATTCTCCGTTGAATTGCATGACAGGCACGGAGTTTCAGTTGCATTTGATGGTTCGGCCTCGTGTACGTTCAGGTATATTTATGGTGCATTGCTTCGATTTCCGTACTTATGAAATGACACCTGTAATGAATAGAAGTGCTTCCGGTGTGTGCTCTTGTTTCGTAGTACTATATCACCTAGAAATGAGCGTCTCACGCCTTCGCCTTGACTGTTCTGGGGTTTATGACATGAGATGCCGCTACTTGTACCGAGTGATCGTGAAAGGGACGTGGCGATGAGACCAAGCAGTTGCGACATGCAGTCGCATCTGAATACCTCAAATCCATCTAGTTGACACATTACATCCTCGCTGTCAGTAGTGACCTCAATCAATTTCGATTTATACTCGGGCTATTTCTCGTATACCGATCTCATTTGCATGTTTAATTGATGCAAACGGTGCAAACAGCACCCAGCATTGCCGCGGATGATGTCAATTCCGTGTCATTATTTAATGTGCCTACATTGGACATTGGGCTTTATTGACTAGAGACACTCCCTGTCAAGCTTCTATTTCAAATTCGTCTTGAGTAGGAGCTTTACAATGTCTGCCCCACGGCTCATTCAACGCCTCTCGCGGCCCTCAAGGTCGCCCTTCTCTCTCACAGCAACAATTGCCCGCCGCTCCTTCGGCAGCTCGGCTGTTCGTCTGAATGATGGCGATGGGAAGGATCGCGCGCCCTCTACAGCTCCGGAGCACCGCAAATACCAGACCTCGAGGCCTCCAAACCCAGCTGTGCCTCATTCGACTTCGACCATGACCAATGACTTCCCCAGTGTCGGCGAGAGGACCCCGCCTCCGGAAGTCTTGAGCTCCGTCGATCCGAACTATAAGCCGGTAGATCCTTATCCTGGCCGTGTCGAGCATTACACTGGTGGTAGACAGCAGCCCGGTGCGCAGAAACCGGAGCTTGGTGTTGGGGAGATGGAAGGGATTACCTTCAAGGTTGAGCCGCTCAAGCGAACTGGAGAGGACCCGGCGACCATGAGGGCTCGCTTGCTGTGTAAGTTTGGTTCTTGCTGTTCGCCTCTGCCGTCCCGAGGCTAATGGAGTGATAAACTGCAGACCAGAGTAGGAAGCGAGGTATTCTCGAGTCGGATCTGCTGCTATCTACATTCGCCGATGTCTATCTGAAAAATATGACGCCAGAACAGCTCCAGGAGTACGACCGTTTCCTGGACGAGAATGACTGGGATATCTACTACTGGGCTACGCAGGACCCTCCGTCTGCTGCGGATGGCCCAGCCGAAGATACCGTTACCGAGACGTGGAAACGCACCGGAGCCAAGAGTGGTGAGTGGAAGCAGACCGTTGGTGCTTACAAGGCTGCGTATAGGCCTGTTCCCTCCAGGTGGGCCGACTCGGAGGTCCTCAGGCTTCTGAGACAGCATGTGCGCGATAAGAGCGCTGTGGGATTCCATGCTGCGAAGAATAAGAAGACTGGCGGTTCTGGGCTGGGGAGAATGCCCGACATCCAGGTCTTTGATAAATAGGCTTTGACTGTTACTACTAATGGGAAGATCAAGGTATGGCACCAAGAGTCGGATGTGCGTATTGTATATTTCAGCTTGTACTATAGTATGCCTTGAATATGTTGATGTGCTCTGCTTGAGATATCAACGCCTTCGCAGCATTGTCTGTACTGGTATCTCATGGTATATGACTTAGACGCCGGCGTATGCTATGTTGCTGGTGGCTGTATGCTCAAATTGGTCAACCCACAGAATGCGTAACAATCATCAAGGAACTGGATGAATGAGCTCGTTTCAACCTTCTGATTGCAGTTATGTATCACGATGTTTACTGCTGCTCCGACCGATCTGTATAGTTCCTCCGGGTCATGTGACTCGCTTAGGCTTAGGGCTTGTGGACCACACAACCAGCGGCAGAACGGGCTAGTTTAGGGCTTAGGCGGGCAACGCTGGTTCTGCTCCTCCATCCTCGAGCGCTGCGATTTTATCTCAGGCCCAGAGTCAACGACAATTGCTCCGCCCGCGTTCATCCTCCTCCCTCCTCTCGCGGCCCCTTCATCGTCAATATGGCTGAGCAGATGGTTCTTCGTGGTACCCTTGAGGGCCACAATGGCTGGGTTACTTCCCTGGCTACCTCTCTGGAGAAGTAAGGGAATACCGAATATTCGAAAAAATTGCAAGAAAATCATATGCCGAAAGGATGAAGAAACGTTTGTTTTGGAAGACTTTGGGCATTGATTGAGCACATGGACAAATAGATTCTGACTTGGATGTTTCGAATAGCCCCAACATGCTGCTCTCTGGCAGTCGCGACAAGACCCTGATCATCTGGAACCTTACCCGCGACGAGCAGGCCTACGGTTACCCCAAGCGCAGCCTCGAGGGTCACTCCCACATCGTCTCTGACTGTGTATGCTACCCGAAATTCCATTGAGTCTAGAGAGAGTCCAAGGACTGGGGACCGCTCGTGGAGGAAGCCAAAATGAAATATGAGGAGATTGGCTGACCGCGTGTGTGTTTGTTCCCTGCAGGTCATCTCCTCCGACGGTGCCTACGCTCTGTCCGCCTCTTGGGACAAGTCCCTCCGCCTGTGGGAGCTCGCTACCGGCGAGACCACTCGTACCTTCGTTGGCCACACCAACGACGTCCTCTCCGTCTCCTTCTCCGCCGACAACCGCCAGATCGTCTCCGGTTCTCGTGACCGCACCATCAAGCTGTGGAACACCCTCGGCGACTGCAAGTTCACCATCACCGACAAGGGCCACACCGACTGGGTTTCCTGCGTGCGCTTCAGCCCCAACCCCCAGAACCCCGTCATCGTTTCCGCTGGCTGGGACAAGCTCGTCAAGGTACGTTTATCCGGTCTTCCCTGGCGCGATGTACACCCGAATGCGAAACTGTCTGCCCAAATGATGTTTTGCATAATACGTATTTGCTACTTCAGAGCCTTCCACGGCCATGAGACAAACAATCACCAATGCCCTGATGGACGCTTCGCAATTTTGCACTTTTTAGATGGGACCAGCTCATTTATTCCCCTGGGAGATTAAAGCTAACACGACGTACCCATTAGGTTTGGGAGCTCGCTTCCTGCCGCCTCCAGACCGACCACATCGGTCACACCGGTTACATCAACACCGTCACCATCTCCCCCGATGGATCCCTCTGCGCCTCCGGTGGCAAGGACGGCACCACCATGCTCTGGGATCTCAACGA